CATCACTATCACCAGCATCAACATCACCATCATCATCACCCCCATCATCACCTCCAACATCACCCCATCATCATCATCATCAGCATCATCATCATCATCATCATCATCATCATCATCATCATCGTCATCATCATCATCATCACCACCACCATCATCATCATCATCAGCATCATCAGCATCATCATACTCAGCATCACCCTCATTATCATCATAGCCGTCATCATTATTACCGCCAACATCATCCTCAACATCTCTAACCACATCAACATCATCACGGGGGTCTGGTCCGCGAGGCGGTGGATACGGGAAATAATCTCCCCCCGCGAGAACCTCTCCGCCATCTTGCTCTGGAGCCCCTGCCGGACGCGGTGCTGCCGGCTGTTGCCGACCGGGTCGGGTACGTCAGAGGAAGAAAGAGCGGCGTAGCCATAAACTTTCGGAGTTCCGCGCGAAGTTCTTGAAATCGGCGCTGGGCCCCCCAGGCGGTGCCTCCAGGGCCGCCACGTGGCGCGCTCCGCGCGTCAGGGAGGGGAGTCTAGCACCGAGCCAAGAAATCCGCGCGGGGCTCCGAGAAATTATGCTTATTCCGCTTTCCCTTCGTCGTGTATATCCTGCCTGCTCACCCACTTCTCCCTCCACACCTTCCGGGGTCCTAACACCGTGTGGCGACGAACCGCGTGGTGACCTCAAAATCCCAAGAGACCTCACGGCACGGTCCTTCACTGCACGGTCTTGAGACCTCGAAGGCCCCGGTCGCACGTGCTGGAAGCATGTCTCGAGTCCCCAAGCCGTGCGGTGACCCCGAAGCCTTGCTAACTCACCACGCGGCGTCGTCACCACACCGTTCGTTGGGCGTTGCTTAATGGGGGGCGATAAATGGGGGAAGAGAAACGCGCACCAATCGTACCCGTTTTGGGCCCCAGGGGGCCCCTTCAGGTCCCCAAAGGTGTGCAAACAAAAGTGCACCATTCTCCACTCCCCCACGTCGCGCCCCGTTACGCGACGCCCGAGTTTGGGGCCTCCGAGCCTTTCCTGAGGCGCCGCGCCGCCTCAGGGCGACACCGGCCCCAGCGGCACACCTCCCGGCGCGGATGCCGCCAGCCAGGCCGCTGCCCATCGCCCGGAGCATGGCTGACCACCTTTGCACGCGCGGGCTCGAGGCTGTGCGGCAGCCCGTCGTGCGGTGAGCGGAGCGTCACGGGCCTGTCTGGGCCGTCTCGGGTGTCTCAGGGGTTGTCCTTCGGGCGGTCTGGAGGCCCGCTGGGCTGCTTCGGGGCTCTCGCAAGCCAGGCCTCCTGTGGCCCTCCTGCGCCGTCTCGGGCCCCTCTTGAAGCCGTTCAAACCCTCTTGGGCCCCTCTTGACACCATCTGGGGTCGCGCTTCGTTGCCTTGTGGGCCGTCTTGGAGGCCCTGAAGACTGAGAAGGCGAGTGTGGCCAGTCGTGCAAAAACCATGGGGAATCAATGGTTTCTGCTGCCGCACAAGAGCCTCCTGTGGTCCCTCTTCGAGCCCCCCTAGGCGGTCGAAAGACCTAGACCTGGACTTGTAGGACGGTCTTGTGGCCAGGTTGGGCCGTATTTGGTCGGGCCCGTCCTGGGCCCTCCCTGGGCGCTCCAGGACTCCAGCGCCCCCGCCCTTCTCTGCAGAAAAGTGTGCATGTGGCAAGTAGGGACGGCTAGAACTTCTACGTCGATGGAACTCTACAAGTACATCTGTGTCTGCATGGAAGCACGCATGCATGCATACATGCATGCATGTATGTATGTACGTATGTATGCACGTCTGTATGTGTTAATATGAATGTATATAGGCATGCATGCATGCATACATGTGTGCATGTAGGTATGTAGGGATGTATGTGCATACGTATACGGATGTGTGGGTGTGTATGTGTATAGTTGTACGCATACATACATGACTGCATGAATGTATTCATGTATGCATGTATGCATGCACGTGTATGTGTAACCGTATGTATGTACAGTTGAATATAAATGCACGTGTATATGTATGTTCAGATACATGTGAAAACATGCATGCATGCACGTACACAAACACATAACTTGACATATACACACAGGCACATACGCATATGAACTTCGATGTATATAAACTACCTAAATTCATGTATACACGCATGCATGCATGCAGGCACACAGTCATACATCCAGGCATACATACGTGATTGCATGCAACCGCATCTATATACATTTATGCATGCAAACTTGAGCATCCACATACACATACATACATACATACATACATACATACATGCATGCATGCATGCATACGTACATACATACATATATACATAGATGCATGCATGCATGCATGCATGGATGCATACACGCATTCCTCTTTCTATATTTTTACAAGCCCGGGCGGCCGCAAAACCCCGCACCCCCCCCCCCCCCCAAACCGGACTCCTGGGATCCTGGGGCTTTGGGACCCTCCGGACGCCCATTGAAGCGGTCCCGAGTGCCTCAAGAGCGCTCCAAGACAGGCACAAAGCGCTCCAAGACGCCAAAGATAGCCCCAAGACAGCCTCAGGAGCCCCCAAGACGCCCCAAGCGGCCCCAAAGAAGCCCCCCAAGACGGCCCCGGGAGGCCGAAATGGTCAATTGTCCAATGTGTTTTTCGATGTTTTCTGCTTTCTCGCCATTTTAGCTTTCCGACGCTCCAAAACAGAACTAGAGGCCCTCAAGAGCGCCCCAAGATGGCCCGGGGGGCCCCCAAAACGGCCCCAACACGGCCCCAAGACGGCTCTGGAGCGCCCCGAAACAGCCCAAGAGGCGCCCAAGAAGGCCCAAGAGGGCCCCGAGAAAGCTTCAAACGAGCCCCCACAGGGCGTTCAAAAGTACAAACATCTAACTTTCCGCCCCAAGTGGGCCCCAGGAGGCCCCAGGAGGGCCCCAAGAGGCCCCAAGAGGCTTCCAAAGGCCCCGAGGACTCCCAAAAAGAACCCACGAGGCCCCAAAATGGCTCTCCAAAAGGCAGCCAAAACGGCCCCCCAAGAGGCTTCAAAACTGCTGAATCGCCCCACTTGACCGCCACCTCCGGAACGGCTTCGCTGCGCTGCTCCGTTGTTTGCCAGACAGTGGCATCCCACGCAAAACACCAAAATGCTTGAAATCCCGGGTTCGCAACCAAATTCCCGGGAAATCGGTTGCGAACCCGAGATTCGGCACATTTCCCCGGAATTCGGTAGATGTCCTTAGCATTTCCAGAATCCGGTACGTTGCCTGCATGCTTGCTGCCCTATGCCCTATCGCATCCCAGAATAATCGTTCCATGGAGGTTTCACGAGGGCCCTTCCAAGTCATTAAGGAAACATTGTTTTCCACACGTGTTCGCACACATGCATCCGTAGCCGTTGGCTTACATTTTTAAGCTGTCGCATACGGCACATCCTCGATGTCTGTATTCGCTTGCTCCGATTGTGGCGAGACCCTGCCTGCAGAATCATTCTCCACAACACAACTTCAGCAGTTGGGCCGCCCGCCCGCGGGCAGAGGCCGCCCGCGGGGTTGGGCGGTTTCTGGAGCGGCGCCTCTCGGTGCGACGCGGACAAATTGCTTTGCCGCTCCCCGACGGCACCTTCATTATCCCTCTCCCTCCTCCTCTTCCTCCTCATGATCTGGCAGTCCTTGGAGCCGCAGCGCCCTGGTCTGTTTCCATATGTGATCGCAGGGCATCTCCGTTTGTCTCACCCCCATGCGCAAGTCGAGACAGCACGCCGCCCCAATGCGTGCCTTACCTTACCTTAGCTCATGATATTCCTCCCTTCGCCGCGCCTCCCTAAATCGTCCTCCACTTCTTTCCCGCCCCTTCTGTCCGACGTTTTGTCTTTCCGGAGCCTCCACGGCCGCTCTCATCGCCGCTGATCGGTCCGCTGGGACATTCTCATGGAGTCCCAGTGGCGCGCGGACCAGCAGAGCGAGGGCGCGAGCAAGTAAGGTGCAGGTCCGGGAACTGGGCGCGAACCAACCGCGGTTCAAAGACCGTGGAGGGCCGCGCTAGACGCCAACGCGCGCAAGGGTTGAAGGACCAAGGTGCATGGCGCGAAGCGCCAATGCAGTCTTGTATATATATATATGTATATGTGTGTGTATCCGCCAACGCGCCCCTGTGGTACGAATGGAGTATCCCCAGGTCCATTGTTCAACCCCTGATCTATATCCCCGAGGACTATTGAAGGGGCCCAGACCCCTAGCTCTCAAATCTCTCGGGGCTTGTCGCGTGCCTCCTGGGGCTTGTCGCCTCCTCTCGCGTGACTTGTTCGGGCGCCAAGAGGGCCCCAAGAGGCCACTCAAGACATTCGAAGACGGCCCCAGATCGCCGAATGATCAGTCCAAAACGCCCACGGTGGCCTCCAGTGGGCCGAAGAAGCGCCCAAGACGTCCCAAGAGGCTGGATGTTTTAAGAAATGGAGGGCGTCTTTGGCGAAACCTTGTTTTGGTATTTACAAGCCATGACAAACAAATCATTTGTTTAAGAAAAACGCACACACATATGTATACATATATGTATGATAATGAAAGTGCGTCTGGCCTCCTGGGGCCTCAATACGGTGACATCTTGATTAATTGAATTACAGCCCCACAACCTGCTTCCATTTGTGGCAGGAATACAAGCTGATTGATGTTTGCGGCGGGGTTGCACATTGATTTCTTGGTGGCGAAACTAATATTTTAGTGGCGGAAGTATACATTGATCCTTTTTTTGTGGTGGGTTTACATCGGTTTTTGTGTTGGAGCCAAAAACCCTCCAAGCTCTTAAATCGCAAAACAAGGTTTCGCCTAGACTCCTTCGGCACATTGTAAATACATAAGGCTTCGCAGGTGTAAAACTATAAGGGGGTCCTTAGTGATTTTATATAGAAAGACAGGTTTCGCTTGACATTCCCCCGGAAGTTCACACCAGCGAAGCCCCATGGATTTAAAACGCCCCGTTCTCGAAAACGACGAGGCCCGCCACTGGCCCCCCATCACCATCAGCGCCTGGCGGCTCTTCTGGAGCCGCAGCTCTGCGGCGGAGCGGCGCGCCCAGCCTCGTGGGGCGGCAGGTCGTCGGCCATCGTCGTCATCATAACCACCACCATCACTTCAGACCATGTACACTATTCTCACCCACCCCATTATCAGAATCCTCCTGCTCCTTCTGCTCCTCCTTCGACTCCTCCTCCTCCTCCTCCTCCTCCTCGTCCTCCTCCTCCTCATCATCAGCAGCCCCAACACCACCATCATCACCATACTCATCCTGATCATCATCATCATCATCATCATCATCATCATCATCATCATCATCCTCCTCATCACCAACATCACCGACAACAGCATCAACCACAGCAGCAGCATCAACATTAGCATCAGCATCCGTACAGGCATCATCAGCAGCATCGCTGTCATCATCATCACAACCACTAGCATCATCATAAGCCGAATCGTCATCATCACCCCCATCATCAACATCATCATCATCATCATCATCATCATCATCATCACTACCACCACCATGATGCAGGGGGCTTGTCTTTGAGCCATTGCTGCTTGTTGTGTCTGGTAGTGGGTGTGTAGTTGTTGCGCGGCTTGTTGCAAGTGTTCTTCGCTTGTGCTCTTCGCTCTGTTGATGTCCTCCTTGAGTTTGTCGGGGTCAGACGGCTGTTGTGTTTCTAGTTGTTGTTGTTGGGCATGTAGTTCCAGCTTAATTCGGCTATGGCTGTTTGATCTTCTTCTTCTTGTTTGGTGTTTCTGTTGGGTGCTTGTTCTCGGCTGTCAGGTGCTGTAGCGTAGTCGTGCTTGGCTTGTTCCAGCTGCGCGCGGTAGTGGATAAGTTGGGTGGTGATGCCTTCGGGTTGCTGGTTTCTTTGTTCGGTCTGCTTGGTCGTCGTCTTGGCGTGTTCTTCTCGTCTTCTGCGTATCGTAGTGCTGCTGATTCGGTGCGCATGAATTGCTGCTCTGTTTGTTGTAGTGTTTGCAAATGTTCTCGTGTTTGGTGGCAACCGTTTGATAGGTAACCGCGCACGGCTTGTAGTTGCTAGGTGGTGTCTTCTGCGCTTGTGGGCTGCACTCGTGCCTATGTGTCGTTTGGATTGTGCTTCTGTGCTGCACGTAACTCTGGCATGAGTGTGTCGCTTACTTGTAGGTCGCCGGGGGCCTTGTTATTTACTCATATCTATACACATATACATTGGGTCTCGTCGTGTCGTCTTGCGCATTGGAGCTGGATGGGGTAGTTTTGGATGGGTGCAACGGCGTCTTCGCTTGAGAATGCTTGTTGGGCTGGATGTATTGCACCCTGGCTGAGGTTGAGTGGTTGCCGTGTGGGTTCGGGGGGTGTTGTCGTTGGTGGGTGAGCTCCTTGCCGATGTTTGTGCATGTCTGTGTGAGTCGCATGTTGTCGTCGTGTCGTTGTTGTGCATGCTTGAGCCTGGCCTCGGAAATCTTGATGCACGCCGCGTAGTCGTCCTTCAGCTGTCTTATGTGCTGTAATTGCTCGTGCTTGGGCTTCTGGTCGGGTAGCTGTCATCTGGTAACTGCAAGCTCGTGCCGCAGGTAATCGGCCCTTTGCACAGCCGCTTCAACTGCGAGTATATGTGATGCAAGTTTCCTGATGTCGACAGATTTGGGTGTATGTAGTCAATGCTCCGATTTCCAGCGGTGTAATGCCTGGTCGGTCTTTTTGTTGGGCGTTGTCGTGATATGTTTCGAGTATGCTGTCGGTGAATGAATTGGCCTCCCTGTCGATGTATGCTGTGTGGTCGGGGTTGCTGCCGAAGCTGGGCTGCGGTAGTTGGCTGTTGTGTCGGGTCTGGATATTGTCTTGTCGGTGTTGGGTCCTCTATCTGGGTGTGGTAGCCTGCCTGTTGTCTGAGTGTGGAGGTTGTTGCCAGGTGTGGGTCGCTTGTGTGTCTGATGTCGCGTTGTAGTCAGCGCCTTTTGCTCGGTGTGTTTGTCTTGCTTGGGCGTGGTAGTAGGTCGGCGCTTGCTGTATAAAAACGTTGAGCCCATGATGGCCTATGGGCTGCCAGGTGGTGTTGTTGCCTTTGCCGTAATGCTGTTGGCGTTGGTGGTGTTTCCCTTCGCCGTTTCCTTTGGTTTGGGGTGCTGGTGTGTGTGTGTGTCCGTACATGTTTGTAGGCAGTCCGTGCATGGCTTGTGCCGTAGCACGGAGGGTTATTGAGCCCTGTGGTGCTGGCCAAGTAGCTGCTGAGCTGTTTCGAGTTGCTGGTGGCTCGGTTGGTCGAAAAGCGAGATTGCTGATGCTACGCGTAGCAGCGTGCGTGCTGCAGTTTGTTTTGTTCCCGTCCCCTACGGTGTCACGCACAATTGGGAGATGTAGTCGGAGCCGTGGTGGAGGTGGATCTTGGCCGATGTGGCCGTGCGAGTGGTGCTCGCACGATGCTGTTCGTCGTGAGAGGTGACGCGGATGCGAGAGACAATCACGATCAATATATAATAGTGTCAGAAGGGGTTATATGAGAATGGGCAAGAGATGGACAGGTATACGTAGACGGGATGGGATAGTGGGAAGTCGTGGCCGATGGCGGCGCACTGCCACTGACGCGCCTCAATCGCTTGGCGGTCCGTGGCTTCCTCCTGCTCCTCCTCCTCCTCCTCCTCCTCCTCCTCCTCCTCCGCCATTCTCCGCCATCCTCCGCCATCGTCCTCCATCCACCTCCTCTTCCTCCTCCGCCTCCTCCTCCTCCTTTCCCTCCTCCGCCTCCTCCTCCTCCTCCTTTGCCAATGCCTCCTCCTCCTGCTTCTCCTCCTCCTGTTCCTCCTCCTTCTCCTCCTCCTCCTCCTCCTCCTCCTCTCCTCCTCCTCCTCTCCTCCTCCTCCTCCTCCTCCTCCTCCCCTCCCTCCCCCTCCCTCCCCTCCCTCCCTCCTCCCTCCTCTCCCTCCCTCGTTCCTTTCTCCTCCCTCCTCCCTACTCCCTCCCGCTTCCTCCCCCATCCTCCAGGAAGGAAGTCCCCGTTCCCTGCCCGCCCCCCCTCGGACAACCCCGTTGCCAGCTCGCGTCGCGGGCGGTGGCGGCCACCGCGTCCGCCAGGCTGCCGCCCCAGTCCTCCCGCGCGGCAAGGCGCCGACGGGCCGCTGCTGCGGCCACGCCCGCGGCCGCGGCGGTGCGGCGCGGCGGCTGTCGCGGTCAGGCCACCGCGGCACCCGCCGCGCGGAACGGCATCTGAGAGCAGACATATACGAGAATCTTGCGACAAGGGCCCATGTGGCCTGACCTTACGTGGTTCTTGTGCGGCAATGCGCAGGCATTTACGCCCGGTCGCAACTCCATAACGATGGTGCCCGTACCTCTTTCAGATGCAAGGGCAAAGCGTCTCTGAAGGAAGCGTGCTGTGAGAAATCGTGGGGTTTCTTCGTCGGTTTTTCAGGGTCCTCGGGTGCCCCAAGGAACTTCTGCGAGTCCCTGGGGCCATCGGGGGATACGAAGCCTCCGCTGGGTTCCTGCTAGCAGGGCGATCTTTTCTGTTTTCTGTCGGTGGCGTACCAAACCATCGAGAGCCTCGGACAAAGAACGACATGGTGTTTGTGGTCACGGCGAGCCTCAGGCATGAAAATGATTGCAAAACCGGACCCCTGACGTGATAATTTCTCGTAACGTCGACCTCCAAAGGTCTCGACCCATTCCCTGGGACCGGCTCTTCATCCTGAGTCGTTTTCTGACGGTCCCGAAGTCCGGCGAGGGCCCCCCGAGGCCGAAAATGGCGAACACTCTTCCGTCGTGTTTTTTTCACGAGCCGAGGGGGCCTGGGAACGTTGGCCCAAGGAACGGCTCAGTCATGGAGAATCTTCCCCCGAACCGAACGCGCTCTTCGTTTCAACGTGCTGACTGCGAGGAGAAGACGGAGGTCGAGTCGAGGGCCAAAGGGCTGCAACTGGCACGCCCGCGACGTGGCCGCAATCGATGGGGACGACACCCAGCAGCGAATGTCGCCCAAAACTGGCAACGCTCGTTGTTGGAACAACGAAGTCCCCTAACCCCGTCGGGCCATGAAAATGACCCCGTGACGTGCCCAATCCATTTGCACCAAGTGACAAGAGGAAGTGGCCCAAACTTGCCCAGACAATGACGGTGCGGGCGCCGTTATGTGCTGTGCGAAGTACACGGGGTGCACTCACGAGGCGCGATTCGCAGGACAACAAGATAAAGACAAGGAGCGAAGGCCCAAGATCGAGGAGGACATGGGGGAGGGAACGAAGAGCCGGAAAAAGACGCGCGGGGGGCCGAAGCGTCAGCGCGGCAGCAGCAGAGGGAAGGCGGCATGGGGTCGGAGGACCACGACGAAAGTGACGGGAGGAGACCAAAGAGTGTGGTTTTTGTCGGTAGTGTGCTACATATGCAGCGAGGCCTGCGCCATGTCGCCGCGGCGCTCGAACCAATGCTCAAACCTGCTCGCCAAAGAGGCCCAGCTCGCCTGCCAACTTCTCTGCTTCCTTCCTGCACTTTCCTCCAGTCCGGGAGCTACGCTCGAATGCGCGCTGCCAGGTGAGCGGGCGGCCCGCGGGCTAGGAAATCCAGGCGGGGGTCGCGTATCATAAGGAGGTTGTCCACGGTCGTTGCCCTGAACAGCATCGCGTAAACATGTAGCCAAAAGTTATAAAGTTTCCACCGCCGCCGCCTCTGGACCCCTCAAAATCTATCCCTGCACCACTGCCAGGATTCTGACGACTCCAGAACTCGAAACAACCTCCAAGTAGAAGAAAAATGCGTCAATCCGCTGGAACCTTGGGATGGCGAAGTCTCATGGTGGTCCGCGTAAAACGTCACTCCGCTGCACCCCCCAGCAACACTCGAAAGTGGAGACAATTCCGCAAATCGCAGCCCCCTCAGGATGGCGAGGTCTCCTGGTGGTCCGCGTAAGACGTTTCCGCTGCGCCCCCCAGCAGCCCTCGAAAGTGGAAACAATTTCGCAGATCGCAGCACCAGAAGGATAGCGAGGCTTCCTGGTGATCCGCGCAAAACGTCACCCCGCCGCACCCCCCAGCAACCATCGAAAGTGGCGACGGTTTCGCAGATCGCAGCCACCCCAAGGAAGGCGAAGTGTCCTAGTGATCCGCGCAAGACATCACTCCGCTGAACGCCCCAGAAACCCTCGAACGTGGCGACAGCTTCTCAGATCGCAGCCACCCCAAGGAAGGCGAAGTGTTCTAGCGATCCGCGCAAGACATCATTCCGCTGCACCCCCAACAGCCATCGAAAATGGCGACGGTTCCGCAGATCGCAGCACCCGAAGGATGGTGAGGTTTCCTAGTGATGTGGTTAAGACGTCACTCCTTTGCACTCTCCAGCAGCCCTCGAAAGTGGCAATAGCTTCGCAGATCGCAGCCCCCCCAGGGGATGGCGAGGTCTCCAGCCTTCGAAAGTGGCGACGGATTCGAAGATCGCAGCCCCCCAGGGATGGCGAGGTCTCCTGGTGATCTGCGAAAAACGTCACTCCGCTGCACCCCCCAGCAGCCCTCGAAAATGGCAGATCGCAGCCCCCCTAGGCATGGCGAGGTCTCCTGGTGATCCGCGTAAGACGTCTTTCCGCTGCACCCCCCAGCAGCCCTCGAAAGTGGCGACAGTTTCGCAGATCGCAGCACCCGAAGGATGGGAAGGTCCCCTGGTGATGTGGTTAAGACGTCACTCCGCTGCATTCTCCAGCAGCCCTCGAAAGCGGCGACAGTTCCGCAGATCGCAGCCTCCCTGGAGATGGCGAGGTCTCACTTGAGATTGGGTAAAGCGTCACTCCGCTGCACCCCCCAGCAGCCCTCGCAGATCGCAGCCCCCCAGGGATGGCGAGGTTTCATTTGAGTCTGGGTAAGACGTCGCTCTGCTGGACCCCCGGCAGCCATGGAAAGTGGCGACAGTTTTGCAGATCGCAGCCCACCAGGGATGGCGAGGTTTCATTTGAGCTTGGGTAAGACGTCACTCCGCTTGACCCCCCAGTACACCCTCGAAAGTGGCGACAGTTTCGCAGAGATGGCGAGGTTTCATTTGAGTCTGGGTAAGACGTCACTCCGCTGCACCCCCCTATCAGCCCTCGAACGTGGCGACAGCTTCGCAGGTCGCAGACCCCCACGTAAGAGGTAAGAGGTAAGAGGCAGGAGAGAGGAGAAAGGAGGCGGGAAGGAAGCGAGGAAGGAGGTGTGCGACCGCAGTGCTCTAGTCAAAACCAGTGCCCAACGCAAGAGTATGGGAAAAACGCAGACGGGAGGCCCCCCTGGGGCCATTACTGGGATGAAAGACGGGTCCCGGCGGAAAGGAGTCCAGACCTCACGAAGAAAACACAACGTCGGGGGTCTGGGTCAGTCTCAGATGGGCATCGTCCGCGGCGCAGAAAAGACAGCGAACTCTGCTCAGAATGGGCAGGATCTTTGCTGTCGGTTTTCGTCCCCGTTCTTTCCGCCCCATTTCGGCCCTCACGATGCAGGAATGCTGTGCCAAGTGGGTTTCGGCCGGCTCCCTTCTCTTGTCCCTCCTTTTTTCTCCGAGGGTTGGAGGGGGGTGAAGCCAGAAGCCTTCCAAAAGGGATCCGAGTAGATGGGGTCGGAGGGTCGCGCCGCACCGCCGATGCATTACCGATGCAGCTCGATGTGAAGTCCGATGTTCTTCACGCCAACGGCCTGGAGAAACGTAAGGGGGCTGGCCCAGCCGTCCGTGTCCGAGCACCTCGAGTCCTCCCCACTTGAGAAAAGGAAGGGCGCGTCGCGAACGTATGCGAGCTAACAAAAGCCGCTGCGGAAGCAGCAGCTTCAACGATGGAGGGTGACAGCGACGACCAAATACAGCAGATACATACGATAGGGAATCTTGCTATATAAGAAATCGAGGGACACAATCTTCGCCGAGTTTGTAAGGTCCTATGGTGTCCTGGAGATTACGTGGGTCCCTGGGGCCGTCGGGAGATAATAAGTTTCCATGGGGCACACGCTGGCAGGCCGATGCCTTGTTTGAAGTGCCCACTGTAAACGCTCTGCTGCCTGAGGTGGACCTGGCTCTTCATGGGCAGCGAAGGGACCGCACAGTGACCCCCGCAACCTGAGGATCGCTGAGTGACGACGACGACGACGGCGACGACCACGACGAGGAAAAAGAGGACGAGGGAAAAAAGGACGAGGACGAGGAAGATGCGCCTACGATGGCGACAGGGACACGGCTGAGGACGCGGACGACGGTGACAGCGAAGGCAGGCTCTGGTCCTCCAGAGCGGGGGCGACGACGACGCTGCGCATACGATGGCGACAAGGACACGGACGAGGAAAATGACGACGGTGAGTCTTGGAGGCGGCCGAGGGGTCTGAACTGGTTGGGGCCCCAGAGAACCGGTCAAAAGAAGGAAGGGGCCCCAACCCGCTCAAAACCAGTCTTTCCAAGGTCCATCTGGATGAAGAAGAAGAAGATGGTGTATGTGGAGCACCCTAACTCTGGAGTGGCTCCACCTGAGAGAACGTTAACCTCCAGCATCACGGACCTCATGAGAAGGTTCGTGGTCCACTCGAGGATGCAATCTGGTGTCCATGTCGGTGCCCAAGACAATCAGCGCCATCTCCACAGCCGCCGTCAGCTTGGTCGCACGCGAGGTTGGCGTCGGCGCGTCGGAGAGGCAAACCCAGCCCGACTTGCTCAACGCACGCGGTGCAGTAGTCCACCAGTCCAGTGGAAGTCCGCAACGTCGTGCTATGCCCACTCGAGAGTAGTAGTACGCTGGGCATTCTTCCCAGTAGTGTCTGAAACTCGGGGATGTGGCACCGCGCAGTTTTAAATCCTTCCCCGAACACCTTCGCGTCTCCGAGGACACGGCCCCAGCGCGAAAGATCCGCACCAGTCGCCTCTCGTCCTCTGTCAGACGCTGATAGAATCGCTTGTATATCATGTACGACTCCGCATCCACACCCACGTCCATGATCACGGCAGCATCAAACCTCGTGTCATTGACCATAGCCAAGCAGCGGATCCTGGCCACACAGAGCAGAACATGCTCGACCTTCTCCTCGTAGCGTTGGTCGCCGCCAGGGCGGTGTGTCCAGAAACGGCTCTGGCCACCCACCAGACAACTGAGGATGTAA